CCATGAACATTCAAATGCACATACCCATAAACATTGAAATGCACATACCCATAAACACTGAAATGCACATACCCATGAACAATGAAATGCACATACCCATGAACATTGAAATGAACATACCCATGAACATTGAAATGCATGTACACATGAACATTAAAATGCACATACCTAGGAACAATGAAATGCACATATCCATGAACACTAAAATGCACATACCCATCAACACTGAAATGAACATACCCATAAACACTGAAATGCACATACCCATGAACACTGAAATGCACATACCCATGAACACTGAAATGCATGTACCCATGAACACTGAAATACACATACCCATGAACACTCAAATGCATGTACCCATGAACACTCAAATGCATGTACCCATGAACACTCAAATGCATGTACCCATGAACACTGAAATGCACATAAGCATAAACACTAAAATGTGTGTATCAAATGCACATACACAGAGAGAAATAATAAGTGCTTGCACACTAAATAAATGATGATTGAATGTACATAGAAATACGTAATAGATTTTGTAACCATGTTTTCATTATTACTAGGATGGAAGACTTCACGTTGGTGACCAATTACTCGCTGTTGACAATAAAAGTCTAATCGGTATAACACAAGAAAAGGCAATAGTTATTCTGAAAAATACACAGCAAACTGTACATCTGACAGTCAGTGGTCAAGGTGAGAAAGTAAAGGATGGAGACCTGACACCTGTCAATCGATCACCGCTATTAACACCAGTTAATCAGTCTCCAATCAGTAAGGTTGCACCCGTACAGTTCGCAGAGACTACGGTGTCATCATCATTAACAACTGTCATTACAATGGAAGACACCTCTACATCTCCTAGCAAAACACAGCTCAACCGATCTCATTCTCCTACAATTCCTCTTGCTACCGTATATGGTAGTATGCATGATGACAAACCACCATCACCATCCCTATCTAGGCAGCCACCATCAGATTTGTCCACTTTATCCTCTACTAACACCACTACAAGTAAGAATACTCATATCTGTCTATCTTCTCTTGTTGTTATGATACATAGCATGTTGTAATGGAAAATTTGAAAATCAATCACCGTGCATCATTTTTAATACTGTAATAACAATTCGCTGGTTTTTAATTTTGCTATTTTCATCGATAAGTAAAATTTGCTAAATTAAATTCGTATAACATATAAATAACACTAGAACTTTGTTTCTCTGCCAGATTCGCAAACTTAAAATCCAGTGAAATTGCTCAGAGCATCAAAAGAGTGAAATTTAATGCCAGTGAAAATAAATAGTAAGCAGGATCTGTATTGCAACTTTGACTAAGATAAATTCTGATAAGAATCGCTACTCAAATAAACAAAACATGTACATAGCAAAACATGCATGAGACTGGATCGCGTATATGAACGGTTTGATATAAACATTTTTGAAATAAAAGTTTGTGCAATGCGTTTATGGTATGTTTTATAATAGTTCAACCGTCAGTAATTAAGTTTTAATAATGCATAGGTTGACTCATGCCAAACAAAAACAAATGTCACACATGCAGAATCCGAATACAAAAACAAAACTGCCTTGACAGCAATGCAGATCCTGCTGTTAAAAATGTTGTTACATTACTTAAACTTTTTCAACGCCAGACTTTCTCGTCTAAATTACTCTGCACTTTTTTTCTTATATTCTTCAATATTTCCAAAAATGGACCCTAATTTTGGAGCCAACAGACAAAATTTGAGTCAATTTTCAGTTCCTACTCAAAATTTTGGCTATTTTTGTCCCAATCTTCTGAAGCAAAGTGCAGACCATAAACAGGACTATTTTGTGATGGAGATAGGGAATTGGTGGTGAAAAGGTTAATTATTAATCTAACATTCCTGTAGGTGATATAAACTGCATTGTACTTACAGATTCTCCATCATCATGTGACTTGCGTTGTGTTCTACCTGACATATACACATAACTTATATCACTCATTGCATAATATCCGTACACTCAGATAGAATTGTCATTCATTTGTTGTATTTTCACCTCTTCTGGCGTCTCACCCTTTGCTTCTCTATACATGTACATTTACGATAAATTGATTGCAGATGATTACTTTTTTCTGATTATTGAATGTCTATAGAATACTGTTGTTCCCTTTTATTCACCAATCTATGTTAATCCTTGGCCCACTGTTACTGTAGTGCTTTGTAACAAGATTGAAACCATTGTATATTGTACATTTACAAGTAGATTTTATACTACATTCAAGCTACACATACGTATACAATCCTGAACAGCAGGGAAATTTTACACATATAATTTACCCAACAATTTTTAAAATTACATTTTACCCAGCAGACAACTCACTTTAAATTTATCAGCCCACCATTTCAAAACCATTTGGATTTTGCTAAAATTTCATTCACAAATCTATGAAACTTGAATATTTTAGTATCATCAACACATCTGTAATGGCTTTCAGTAAGCAGTATAAATTTAATGCATGCCATCCCTTGTAAAAATCTGTTTTTCAAAATAAAGTGTATTACATACGGATACATATGACCCCATACGTTAATACAAATTATAATTATGTTGTGAAACCTGTACATCTTCCTAGCGTCAAAAGTAGACTAATCGAACAAGACATGGTTAGTTTTTTAGATACAATGAAAATAAAATAAAGAAGAACTCTATCTTGAAATTATCCATCTGACTTATTCAATAGACAGACACACTGTGACATCATTTGACTGTATAGTTTTGTCAGTCAGCATGTTGTATTAAAAAAGGCATGCACTAGCTCATAATTATTTTGATAACTTGACCAACACATATTTTATTAAATATGACATTATGTAATTAATCAATCTTTAACCTTTTTACCACCAGTTCCTTCTTTTCATTACAAAATTATCTCGTTTATAGTCTGCACTTTCCTTCAAAAGATTGGGACACAAATAGCACATTTTTTGAGTAAAAAATGAAAATTAACTAAAATTGTGTCTGTTGGCTTCAAAATTAGGGTTCATTTCCTGAAATGTTGATATAATATATAAGAAAAAGGTGCAGATAAATTTGTGGTGAGAAAGTCTGTTAATGAAAAGGTTAATCATTGGATGACTTGCACACTGCTGAAACTATCTCCTCTTAGAATTCTGTGGTTTAAATAAATTGTAAAATTATAATAAATACCAATTTATCAGATATACTCACTTCTAGCAATTATATAACTAAAATTTATAATATACATGTAATATGAAGTTGCTTTTAATACACACTTCTCCTATAAAGTTGTATAAATCACATCCTCCAATGACAAAGCACTGACATCAAGTGATGGTGAAGGCTGAAAACATTATCATTTGACAACTTTGTTTATAAATCTCAAATCTTTTTTTTATGGACGACTTGAGATCAAAACTATTGACTCTGTGAATAACATTCTTGTCACTAATTTATGTCACAGATGCGCATCATCATTAATCGAAACAGTTTATTAGTTGTCCCAGTTAAAAAAAGACAGATTACTTTACAAATTAGATTACATTTGTCCATCTGATATTGAATACTATGTAAATGTATCATCTTGAGCAATTGTAATTCCTTCCGAGTCTCAGGGGACACTTACTTATAACAGTTTATTCAAATTCCCTTTTTGTGAGCAGTGAGTTTGTCTCAATCATTGTGTTTGATTTTAAAATCAAGGCATCATGTCGTGACATTTTTGTTTGCTCTTTATATGTTTTCATATGTATCTGTAGATGTCCTTCTTATATGTATCCTCCATTCAACTCTTTATTTTGTATCAGTATTTACTGTTAATATAATAATATGGTTAAAATATTTCTGATTTTTTTTTTACTTTTAGCTGTACCATATTT